AGCAGAGGTGCTTCCAAATATCTCTATTCATTGAGGTTGTCTTCTTTTAACCTTTGGAACATGGCAGGGTTATCACCTAGAATTACATTCTTATGCTCCCTTAATTATGTATATCTTTTCCTTAACAAACCTTAAAAAAAGATTTCAGATGTTACAAGTCTAATTAAAGAGACAGACAAAGCACAGTTTATACTGTAGATTTTTTCTGCAGTTCAATTAATCAGCATGTTTTCTCTTTTAATTAAAACCATTTTAGTAAATTAAAGCCCACAGCAAAACACATATATAATTTGTTTGTAATTAGCTCTTAATTGGTGGTAGTTGAAGCTTAGCACCCTTGGTTTCTTTCTTCATGATTGCCATTTTATTAGCAGCCAGTCATTAATTAATCTTTTTTTCTAATTAGCTTATAAAACTGTTGATGGCACATTATTGTAAATGTGATTTTAAGTTCAAAGCTTGTTAATAAGCTTTCTTACTTAGAAGAACAGAGATAAAGAAATTGCTGAAAACAGTACTACAGTTCTTTTTTTAAAACTGCCTTTCTTATAAGGGGGCTGTGTAAAGCATCTAACAGCTTATAGTTAATTTTTTAATGCTGTGTTTTCTCATGAATGGAAGAAGTTACTTGCATTTAAATGTTTAAATCTAGCAAAGAGCTTAATATTAGAACAGTTTTCTGTCCTTGCTCCATTACTGTGTCATCCAAATATAATTTGATGCTGTAATACACAGCATAAAAATACAACAAAGGTATTACAAAGTATTTTACAGTGGAAGTTGGGCACATGATTGAAAGGGGACAATTTTCACTGCAAAATCCACTCAGTATTCTTGTTTGCTTTATATATTTTATATACGTCAGCAGTGGATAACATTCCATAACATAAAAGGAGAAAATCATTGCTAAAGGCAAGCCTGAAATAGCTAGATTCATATTTGATGAGAAACTGTAACACTGTATTAAAAGCCTGTTTGGCTTCTCTGGTACCATCACAGGATATTTCAGGACCTGTTTGAATATAGATGTTTTGTTAGAGCTTCTGTAGGCTTAGCATTTGTACATCACACCATACCTCAGTTTTTCTGGAGCAGTTCTTGTCTCGCTGCTTGTATCGTTCAGCATTTACATTGCACAGCCCTATCTTAATGAAAAGTCTTTGTGATATTTGATGTTAAATGGCTCAGTTTGCAAGGAAGTTCTCTGGAAGTTACAGTAGATTCTGTTGCAACTTCACAAAAATGTTTACTCTTCTGCCTGAACTTTGCATACTATTTCAACTCTCAGCCATTTCTTTGCTTGTTTTAAAAGTGTTTTATGATGCTGTGCAAGAAACACTAGAAAGGGATAGCTGACAAGGAAAAAATTAAAAATTGGATAAAAAGTAAATGAATAATGTCATATTACTAAAAAGATGAGAGGCTAATTTGTGCCGACTTTTTGCTAATTTTGTTCAAGCCTCAAAATGAGGAGCTGTCACCCGTTCTGTGTAGCACTGATGACAGTGCCAATGATCCATGAAATAAGCTGCCGCTGGCTTTGTTCTGATAAGAATGAACAAATCTGCACAATGTACGGCTCCCAGAATCTCATTTTCATACTTGCATGCAGGCTAAAAGAAATAAGCTGTTTGCAGGCTTGATTAATCAGACATTTGAGGGTTTTTTGTCTCTTTGATCTCTTTCGTCTCCTAGGTAACTTGCTTGACATTAATGTTGAGCTTGAGTAAAGACAATCAGGAATTGTAGACCAAACTGATATAAAAATTAAAGACCTTAACACTTTAAGTACTCCAGTAATGGTTCCGCTTTACTTCAGAAAACATCTGTTTTCATTTAATTAAAGAACAAAAGAGAACGGCATAAATATTTTTCATAGAGACCTGTTATTCCATAAAAAGTTAGAGTATGATAATTGGTATTTTTAAATAAATGGCTCAAAACTGTTCAAAAAGCAGCAAAGCTTCAGAAATTTGTTACAAGGTAACAGTTCCAGATGAGTAGAAAATTTATGAAAAATAAGGGCTAAGGAGTTTTCCTTTTTGCTACACTGAACATCTAGACTAAGATATTTGCCAGGATTATTGGTCAACTTCAAAAAGGAGAGGTCTTTGCCCTGTAGAAACCAAGTTGTTTTTTAAGTTTGTCTTAAAAATATATATATTGTTACAAGGATGAACCATTATACCAGCTTTACTCCCCAATATGATTTACACACTTTAAACCTGTAAAATTGAAAGGAATTTAAAAAAAAAATGTCGCAGTGCGTTTGCTGGAGGTTATGCAGACGCTTTACAAATCTTCCAAGTGGCTGTAAAGATGAATGCCTCAAGGGTCTAGCCAGGGCCCTGCTTTTCCAACCAGCTAAAGCCCTTATCTTAAATCCAAGCAAAGTACCATTAATCTTTTTGAAAGACCTTTTATGGCTTTTAATATATCCCAAATTAGAACATTTTACACCCTTGGTTCCTGAAATATGGTGATAAAAAGCCTTTAGAGCTTAATTTTCCTTACTGCGTGCTCTGACCAATTTGCAGTTCTTTGTGATAATGTTTAGACACCTTAATTAAAATGCAGCAAAATATTGGATGTTCTATATGGAAAATGCTGATACTTTGACTACACAAGAAATTGTTGTATATATTTTTATTCATGCTTTCTTACTTCTTTTAAGATTGTATTTTATTAAGTTATCTGATGACCTGAAATTTTTTATTTAATGTAAAACCCATTGGCCAAGCTTTTATGGGCTTCTTTTTGGGGAGGAGGGAGTGACAATGTGTGTCGGGGTGTGGGTGTGAGCAGGAGATGTTTAATCTGACTAAAATGTTTGTATGTGCTTTATGTGTGACACATTTGTTTTCATGTCTTGAAAATTTGACTCTACGTAGCCTAGAAATAACATTAATGCTGCAAAATGTTTCTCCTTTTACTTCCACATACACAACAGAGGCTATTATTATCCTGTTTTTTCTGTACTCCTCAAAGATGGAAGAAGTCATTCTGTCTTCCAAGAAACACTTGTGTGTATTTGTGTACGTGTTCAGTAGACCACTAGAACGTATTTTAAGGAGATGGTGTTATTCATCACCTAATAAGAGTTAATTTTCAAGTGTGTTGGGAGGTAAATATATTTCAGAAATAAAGGCATGGTTCTGCTGATTCGTTGGCTTCAGCCATCAGATTGCTCTGTGTTTTTAAAACTAATAATTTAGTCCTGCTTCAATTAACAAGTAAATATTTTTTTAATATTTTAGGTGAGCTTTTTAAAGCATTTTTGTACTGCAAGTATATTAAAGGTAATAGCTGCCCTTAAATATCAAGTGACAATGCAGATAAGAGAATGTTATGTTCTAGTCTTTGACTTGAGATTTGGCAGTTCAGATGTTGACATTGAATTCCTAGTTATATAAAATTCTAATGCTTGTGAAAAATTGTGTAGCTAATGACATAAGTTTTGAAACATCCGGTCGCATGGATTATTTTGTGCATCACATGTATGACCTTGTATCACATGTAAACAGACAAAAAACCTTTTTCTCTTAAAGTGTTGTGCTTACCTCTGAACTGTGTGTTGCCAGTGTTCACACCTCGGACGAAGCACGGGCTGTTGTCCTTACTGCCTGTGTGTGTGTAGGCTCTCCAAGCCCTCTCCAGATAGGCTGCTTTCTTGGTTCTTGAACCCTGAAAGGCCTGTAAGGAAGAACAGCTTCTGAGTGATGCTGGTTTGGTTTGCCTTGTTAACACAATGATCAGCATCAACCTACTTGCAGGGCAGGTGTTTGATGGGACAGTTGTAGATGTCAGTGCATCTACATCTGAAGATGCACTCTTGAGTTTTCTCTCATCTTATTTGGATAAAATGTCTGTCAGAGTAATTAAGAGCTGCCTGTGTAGATAATGCAGATTATTGAAGTGTATTACCATTAACAACAGAACTGTCACCAAAGTGTTAAGGAGTGTTCTCTCACTTAGATCTCCAGTGCCTCTCTTGCTTGATGGTCCCGTGACGTTTTGGGTAAACATGTTAGCTAACTCAGTAGGTTTTGGAGTGGATGGGAAGAAAACCTGTTAGTCCACATCAGTTTGTAGCAGTTCTAGCTAAACGAAGTGCTTGTTTGTCTTGGAGGAATGCAGTAACATTTGAGACCAAATTCTTCCAGAATTTATAATTTAGCTGCAGATGATGAGTGATGACAGCAATCACAAAATGGAACTACAGTGAACAGGTTAGGAATGCTGATCAAGGAAAACACTCTGGTCATAGTTCACAGTACCTTCCTTTATCCTTTTTTTTTTTTCTTTATTCTTTTTTCCCTCCTTAACAATCATTAAAATGAACTTAATTCTCACAGCGTAAGTTTATCAAAGTAAAGTAGTATTTGCCTACAGCCTATTATGACCTTATTTGTAAAGCATGTGTGTTAACACACTAATAATCTAAAAGCTTAGTAGTGTGAAGACTAAATGCCAGATGGACTCCAAGGACACTGCTTCATTTACTTTCTAGGCAAACTGATTAAAACATGACTACTGGTACTACTGGAAAATGTGTGGTAGTGGCAGCTCTTCCTGTGTAAAACCGTGTGTCTTTTTGGGTGGTTTTCATACTGGTAAGACCTGGCACTATTGTGTTAGCACAGCTGAGGTCGCAGACTGGTCTTAATGATGGAGACTCTGTATGGATGGCTATATATTTTAAAACAAACAAACAAGCAAAAGGATCTAGTGGGCTATTGCCTTCTGCTTTTATTCTTGAAAACGAAGAGTTTGATGAAAAGCATTGCTTGCCCTGAGACCCCACTCCTTTGTATTTCTCTGAGGAGAGATTCTTGCTTGTCCGAGCTAATGGCACAGCATCAACCCCAATATTTGAAAAATATTTTAATATCTATTGACTTTCAAGAAACAATATCAGACTAAGTAATTTGTGAGGTTTAAATTTCATATGAGACAATTTGCATCTGTTCATTTTTCCTTCGTTCCTTTTCATGTCTTAGCTTGGTGTGAAAATTGCTAAAGCTGTTGCGTGCCGCAACTTTGTGAAAGCCAAGCAAGAAGCAGAGGCTGCCCAAGAAGCTCGGAAGAAAAAGAAGCTTGCTTGGGGGTAAGTCATTTGAGTATGGAATTAAACATTTGTGGTTTCATTGGCACTAAGTGTCTACAGTACAATCTCAGTTAAATGTTTTCTTAGTCGAAATAGGCTTGTGCTAATCTTATTTGTTTAGTTTAACCTTGCTGGGTTGCGGGGGGGTGGGTAGTGTTTTGGTTTTTTTAGCAGTGCATCTGACTTATGTACAGAGGGTTTACCAGAACTAAGGTACTGGTTATACAGCTACATTTACTTTTATCTCTTTTATTACAGTATTAAAAATTAAGTTTTTCATTTTGTTGTTCTTCATAGTATGGTTGAATACCTAAAACACATATGCTCGTGATTCCTAATGTGTTTTTTGGGCTCTATTTCAGATTTGAAGCCAAGAAAAGATGGGAAACAAAAAGCAACATGGGATACATGTAATTCATCCTGTTTTCCTCAGGAGTCAAACTACTTGTTTTTACTTGAAAAATCTTCGTGGGCGACGTCTTAAATCTCAACCAAAAAAAAAAAAAAAAAAAAACAAACAAACAAAAAACAAACACACAACAAAAATCACTCCCACCCCCCACCCCAAACCCCAGCACATCACATTCCTTGTCTCTGTTAATGCTGTTAGACTGCAGTATCTTGTTTTGGTGCTCTCTTGTAACGTAGAAAAAATACTACCCAAACATCTATGCTATGTGTTTTTCTCCCAAATACAAAAAAATCAAACCTAATGCATTGCAGAATGCATTTGGAGTCTGGTAGAGAAGTCTCTAAAGTTGGAATAAAATGTTTGGTCCATATGTGTTCTGTGCTGCAGTTACAATGTGTGGGTGTAAAGAGGGATTTTTTTCCTGATGAGTTTATGCAGACTTAATGCAGTAAGGACTACTTTTCTGATTGCTTGAAATTTCGGAGGGGCACTAAATAAAGAAAAGCAAAAACATCCTACCTGTTTAAGACCACCATTATTTATGCTTATATGGGTTTAGTAGATATAAAAAAAAAAAAAATAAGGCTGAAAAAACATCTATCTTCCCTCTCCTGGGAGGATCTGGTACTATTTGTCATGTCCTGGTGCCTCAGAATATTTCAAATTCCTGTTTTCCTTCCCAACAACTCAAGTTTTAAAAGTCCCAGTTTCTTTGAGCAGTTACAGTATAAAAATAAGTATCTTGAAAATTATCTGAACTGTTATGTTGTGCAGTTAAGATGCACCTAAGAAACAAATGCAGATTTTACTCCAAATGTTTTACAAATCAATTAGGATTTGAATGTTTGTTGCAAGAGTGTAACAAGGATTGATGCTGTTTCTTTGGAATTGTTCTCAGTGAGCAGTAAGGACACATTCAGAACTAATAACTTCTCTCCCTGCGTGTGTGTGTAGTCACCACAGTGCCTGAACTGAATTGGTAATGTAAATGTCAGTTATTGTTAACCAAGATTAATAGTGTTTCAGGCCAAAGGTATGGTATTACTGGAATGGTGATTTACTGTGTAAGCACTTGAGGCTACAACAACTTGCCAACAAACAGCAACGTGAAGTTTTACGGCACCAGCTCGAAGAGTTTAGGTTTGCAGTCCAACATGGAATAGTGCATTTTTGTTCATTAGCCCTCAGGATGTTTGATACTTTGTCTTTTTTAGCAGAACATTGTATTTCTTTCACAAAGATGAGAGTCTGCAATCTGATAATCTGCAGTTAGCTGTAATTAGTTATGATGACAGAGTTGAATACAATTGCCAGGATTGTAAATCAGGGGCTAAGCAGGTTTCTGCAGTATAGCATCATAAATCTCACACTATGGCTTCACAAACTACATTAGCTTTAGAAGCTTTGGTGTGGAAGAAAGCAATTGATATCTCTTAGTAAAGTGATGATCAAGTAAACATGCAGTTTACCTTTCACAGACAGATTACACCATGCACCTCCATCAAGATTTTTATTTCCAAATGTTCCTGTCTGAAACTTAGAGGCACTCTGTCCATAATTTCTATTGCTTTTAAGCAGCTGGGTGTTGCATACTGTTTGACCTTTCTGCTCATTATATACTGTAAAGCAGAATGATGCTGATAATTTTGTGCTGAAAACATCAGCAGTAGCCCATCAAGAGATTAAAAGTAGCATATATTAAACAGATTATATGTTTTTTGTATTAGTTGCTCTTAATGCTGTGTATTAGTCAAAGATCTCAATCTAGTTGCAAGGATCAGTGCTGTTTGATATGAAAACATGCTGCAGAAGAAATACAAACCCTCAAAACCATCTGTCCTCTGAGAATTTGCCACTCTGTATTTGCCGCAGCAGCGTGTGCCCAGTCACCTGGAATATTTTTCACTTACAATTACTAATTAGTTTTCTGTTAGGCCATTAATAATGTAGCCATTTAGGAATTATGCAGAATATTTGCATTTGGTTACTTGTGTGGTGAATTTAAAAATTATCACATTTGAAGTATTCTAATGTACCTAAAATACTCACTTAGAATATTAGCAAACTCCCAGCATTATACCACGATCAAAAGACAAACCCTGATTAACAGGCAATATACAGAAGCCTGAGACAGCTTTACAGAGATCATCTAAATACATACTAAATGAATGTGTAACTGTACCTTTAATGAGCATCCCTCTAAACTGCTGATATAACTCTAAGATGTCTTGCATGCCTTAGACTTTTTTTTTGTAGTTTTGCTCTGTGCTGTGAATTTTGGCCAAACAAGTAAAACTGTGTTCTGAGTTTTAACTTTCCTCATTTTTTTAAGTGTTAAACCAATCCAAATGCTTGTTTCAGTTACAGAAACCTTTTTAATCAGCTTAAATATATAATCTTACACCAAACTAAATTTGAGATGTAATAATTCTTTTAGCAAATGAAAAGTTTGCACTATCTTCTTGTCTGGCTGAAATTATGTATCTGAGAAGAATGTACTTAAATTATTAATTGCAGTACAAATCTGTTGTGAAGCCAAATATTTATTGTGAGCTCATTTGATGATACTTTGAGCTGGGCAACAGTTAAAAGGCACCCTTGCCTGAGCTGCTTCCTGCCCTGCAGAAGCCTTGAAATATGTGAATGTGTACACTAGTTTTGCCCATTTTTTTTCTCCACCACAGTTTCATATTTCTTCCAACTGTAGTACTTCCTGGGATATCCTAAGTAGTCATGTCATTTGAGGAAAAATCTTGTAGCTTGTCAAGTCAAGTGCAGTTCCTTGGGGTAAACAGAAATATTTTTGAAAAGGGGAACGTCCTCACAATTATCCATTGTCCTTTGATCAAGGGTTGCATCTCGAGCTACCTGGTCTGATCCAGGCTACCTCTGTGAAGAGCCAGTAAGGCCTCTTCACTAAGTTTATTGCTGTCACACAGCAAGGTGATAGGATTGCTTTTGGGTTTATGGTAGATCTGGCTGATAGCAAATTGATGGCTCTGTGGGTGTCATACTTCTCCATTTCTGCTCCCATCTGGGGATAGCTCAGGCTCATGTTCTTGCAACTCTATGTTCTAAGGCCTACACAGCAAAGAAATAAATTATTTATTGACTGCTGCGATAAAGTACACCCAGTTTGAAGTTTGACAACAACATACTAATACAATTACTAGTATTTCTTAATACTGCATTCCTGAGCTCCTAAACCAAAGAGTGGCTGCAGGGACAGTTTGACAGATAAAAACATATATATAGTTGTTAGAGTTTTAATAGTTTTTTTGCCTGCAACCATAATCCGTATCATTTTTTTTTAGGTTAATTCTGTTGGACAAGTTTCAAAGATAAATATGGTGTGTAATAAGCCTTTGCAACCTCTAATTTGTGAAGGAGTGTCTGTCCAGTTAATACTTGCTCATTGAAGCAAAGGGTTTTGAAATAGCTGAAGTACGAACTGTAATTACTGATGTCTGTTTCCTATTCACCTATGGCTTCTGGCATTTCATCAAAAAATGTAATGTTTTGCTTAATCTCAGAGCATTCCCCACTTTCAAAAATATTTACTTCATGAGAAGTGTACAGTGCTAAATGACCTCAGCAAAGCCAGAGTAGATTTTTACTTGGCATTGATCATATGTAGTTAATCCACCAGCAAGTATTTTTCCTGTTATTTTTGATTGTTGGTAATTTAGATAGGCATAAATTTATAATGTACCTCTAGTGCAGGCTCAAAGCATTTTAAAAAGTATTGACTATAGTAATAAGAGTGGGGTTTTTACCTCACAAATGGGATGGCTAAAGAGAGGAGTACAAAGGTTCAGCAACTTACGTGAGGACAAGCTGCAAAGTGGCAAATGGGATCTCTTGGTTTGTACACGATTTGTCATAAGTGGAAATAACATGGACAAAGATCTTGAACAAACATGAGGAGGCAGGTACCTAAATCTCTTTGAAATCCATCAGGAATTGGGTCCTCATTATCATCTACTACTGAGAGGGTAAAAAATCTGGGTTGAGTCCAGATGTTCTGAGCATCACAAGTAGAAGCCTTAATTTCATTTGAGAAAAGTTGTCATCTTTCTTGTTGAAAAATGCCTACATTGCTTTGATCTGCCTCCAGTTGTGTTTATTACACCATCAAATCTTGTCTTTCTCGTTTCATTGGGACTGTGTGTAACAGTTGAGAGTTTTCCTGTTTCTTTGCTTAGAACTGGACCTTAAATATAACATTTTCTTCTCAAAAAGCATATGAGTTAAATGGATACTAAGAACCACAAAGAGTCAACTTTATATATATAAAGTCTTTGATTATGTTCATGAGTACGAGGGACACCATCTGAGGAAGGAGAAGGCTATTTCTAGTGAAAAGAGTGCATCATGTCAACATGTTAGTCGAGTTCCAGATAGAAATATGTTGGTTATTGCATCATCATCCTAGCTTAAAGGGTGCATTAACTTCTCTTGGAGTTTCACAGGTGGGCTGGCTGCTTGGCTGGAGCAGATGAAATGGCTCCAGGTGAACATGAAGTGGCTGCAGACAGAATGGAGCGTTGGGGTTTCTGTGGTGCACGTCTCCATCAGCTCACCTTCCACAACTTTTGCTGTAACTGAGTGCAGTTCAATGGGATGGAAAAGACAAATAGGTATGGAAATAAGGATTCTCACCCAAAGCAGAAACAGCTGCTTTCTGATAGCCAAAGAAGGAGTTTTCTTCATTTTTTGGTAACGTAACTGAAATGCCCAATATATTCATGTAGCCTAAACAGCAAAGCTAGATAACAGAGTAAAATATAATGCTGCCTTTGGAATCTTTTAGATAACATTTATGGTACTTTATGGTTTTCTGTGTAGAGAACTGGTTGCTGGCCTTGTAGGATCTTCCTTGGTGCTGGTGGAAGCCATGAGGTTCACATTGGTAGCCCCCGAGTTAAGCAGCACTGCTCGATGAGACAAGGAAAAACAGTCTGAATCTCTGATGATTCTGTGAAAACTCAACCACACCTTC